GTGAAAACCCTACAGCTGGCAAATAAAGTTGCAGGGGAAAGAGTCAATTCTCAGCGGAATATCTTAGCAGTGAAAAGACGGGGGCTGTATGGCTGGGGGGAGAGAGGGAGGGTTCTTCAATATATACCTGTTCCCCATGGAAGGGAAGAGAGGAGAAGAAATGAGACCTGGAGCGACCAGATGGAGGCCAACACTTGTACAAGTGCTCCTTGTTGCTAATGCAAGGGACACTAAAAAAGTGGAGTGAGGTAAGGGTGAATCATGGATGGCAGTCACCACTGCCTTGCAGAGTACCACAGTGGTCTTACTGGGATTTGTCAGGCGCTGTGCTAGGCACAGCCTTGGGGACAATTCCTTGTTCTATGCAGAGAGTGAGCAGCACATGACTCAGCTCCTTGCCTTGGGGATGAGATGCATAGGCCAACGAGATGCAACTGGACTGATGTCAACTGCCTGGTCATCCTTGCAGGATCCCAAACTGCTTTGTGTTACTTTGGGCCGGGAGCAGGGAGGTGGGTGGTCACTGCAAAGCAGCCAGGAATGGTTTCTTGCCACCCCAGCACATATTGTGTGTGCCTAAGTCCTGGTGCAGGGTCCTGTCCTTGCTGCTGTAATAGCAGCGTGTAAGTGTTGGTATTTCTGTGGGCTGGTTTCCTGCAGGAATAGGTGATATGAGCTGGGAGGAAACATTGCAGGGCTTTGGGGAAGCGGGGTTGTGTGGCACTAGCCAAGTTCATTCTCATTTAGAGAAACCATCTGCCTGTGATATTTCCCACCAAGCCAACTAGCAGAAACTCCAGCATGTATGTGTTTAAATAAACAATAACTGTAACTCCAAGTTCCTCTACTGGTGTTTTATTTCCTTCCTCCCAGAAAGGCTGGGGAGTGCTTTTATTTTCCCAAACCGTGACGCTCTTCTGAGGCTTTGCTGCAGTTGCTCAGCGCTGCCCAGCCCACCTGCACTGCAGTCAACAGCAGCCTGAAACGACTTCCCTTTGGAGCTTTTCCATGGAGTTTAGGTAGCTATTTGCACAGTCTGTGGCAGGCCAAATATATTTCCTGCCCTTGCCAGCTCCTACAGAAGTATGAAAGGAATGTGCAAGCTCAGACCTGGGACAGTGGTTGCTTCTGGAGCACTGTCTTTCTTTTGACACTTAACCCCTCTCCTCTGCATTCATACCAGCAGAGCAGAACTAAGCCTGAAAACAGGCTTCTCTCCATCTCAGAGAGGATGTGAAGGATAGATCCAGCACTTCAGAAATCCTCAGCTTGCAAGAACATGGTTTGGGCATCCCAGAGGCACCAGCCCTCAGTCGGTGAACGACCAGGTAGGTGAGCCTCCCGAGGATGCTGGTCTCTTCTGTCCCACTGCTTTGCCATGAGTTAGTTGCTAGCCATTTGTTTTGCTCATTTGGAACACGATTTTCTTGGTGAGTCATTTCTAAGGGGATCTCTTGAGCTCTAAAGAAAGAATACAAATTGGAAAAGACTGACAAAACACCTGCTCTGCAGCCACCGAAACCAAGAACATACAGCATTTCAAGGTGACCTGCACCTAGCTGCCTGGCTTTGCTTTGCAAGAGTAGAAAATATGCATAAAAACTACCTACAAAACACTTCAGGTATTTGACTGAAATAGGTCAGATAAATTGATTTTAGCACAGCTTTTTTTCCTCCTTTGACTGTAAAGGGAATCCAGGCTTCCTCTGATGGAGCTCTTCATGTAGTAGACATCTGGGTCTCTTCTGGAAAACCCATTTCTAGCAAAAAAAGAAAAAAAAAGAAGGCAAAAGGCAGTTCCTCTGGGAAGGAACTTCACTGCATCCCAGAGCACAGTATAAGCGGAGGAGGTATGAAAAAGTTATTTGGACTTTTACAAGAAAGACTTCAGTGTCTCATTCATGAATTAGCTGTGCTGGTGGGAAGCAAATTGCTTCAACAGCTCTCATACTCCTAAAACAAACATATCTTTAAAAATTAAATGGGTTTAAGATAAGTTCCCTTAAAAACAACAGCTGCAACTTTCCAGTGCTGCACAAAGTCTAGACAGTAACAGCCAGTCTTCCACTTCTGGCAGTAAATGAGTTGTGTCTGGGGCAACAGCAGGCTAGTGACTAGCCAAATGTGAAAGCAAAGGAAATGTGGAAGAAAATTAACAACCCTTGACTATACAGATGAAATTCTTACACTAGGGCCCATGCCTATTTTACACATACTATTTTTTTTTTTTTTTAATTCAGTCAAATTTTTCTGTGTGGGTGTCCTCACAGTGCATGCTGGCTCCTAACAACCCCAAAAGTGTTTATTTTCCTGGACTGTGAAATCTTCAAGGCCCAAACTGGGGAATTCTCTGCAGAATCTCTTTCCAACCTCTTTTATCCCCCAGCTCCCTCTGAAGGACTTTTGCCATCATTGCATCAGCTTGGACCAAATTCTAAAACCAGATTTTAATCCTTGCAAGAGTGTTGTTTAGTTTGTTGTCCTTTCCTATTATTCCTCTTCAGTTTACTATAGAAAGTAAAACTCCAGATTATTTTTTTTTCTATTTTTGTCACCATGATTTTCCCTAGTTTAATTTCCATTTGATATGGAAGTTCTATAGCCCAGCAATTTGCTATATATTTGCTATGTGGAAATCTCCATCATTTGCTACTCATGAAATCAGAGGGAGAAACAAGAGAGATAAGGACTGCTGGAGGATAGACTAGACATAGGAAGGGGGACTTCAGTAAGTTTATTTTCATGTTACACAGATGCATATAACCAGCCCTGCAGCTGAAGTATCTGTTTAGTTTTACTGACAAGCCATGGTTTAAACACTTGAAAACACTGCAGTTTCCAAAAACTCTTCATATAAACTGAACAGAATTGTCTACTCGCTGTCATGATTTTTTATTTTTTTTTATTTTTTTTTCAGTACTGAACTTGGCATTAGATCTGAGTACCACTCATCAGCAATGCAGGCAATTCTTCTCTCCTCTAAGAGCTTCCTTGCAACCCATTTCCAACTGTCCATGGTTTGTTTGCGGTGCTGGAGCATTGCCCCTGCACTCTACAATTTCTTCTCACACACTCACATGTTTCCCAGAGGGAAAGCGAGGCAGAGAAATAAATCAATAGATAATTCTGCCTAGGAAGTCATGCTTGATTTCAAATAAATATATTTTCATCATACCAGACCACTTTGGGGGAAAGTGAGTTGTTGATCTTGACAATTTACCAGCATTTTTCAGCACTTGGCTATGAAAGCAACTAAACGCACAAATAGAGGAGTATCCTGGGCTTTCATGACATATCTATCCATCTTCCCATTATTTTCGTGTTTGTGACCAGCTTCCAAAATTCAGAGAGGTAAATAACAGAGCAGAGTGATAAATAACACACTCAAACACTGACCTTTTGGGAAGAAAAGCCTCCAGTGGACATCGAATACATGTTAGGGACAAAGCACATTGACTGTCCTTTAGGAATCCTCCCTCAGGAATGAGTTGGGTACCAAGCTGTGCTAGCTCAGGGCATTCAACCTCAAACCAGCACTCATTTTATTCATTGCATTTTTTTTTATTTTTAAACAGAATTTAGCAGAATTTTGACATGTCTACCCAATAACGTCTTCAAACAGTGTTTGTCTTGATGCAAGACTAAATGCTTTCAGTTTTGTTTTTGGTTTTTGGCCAAAGAAGCTCAATAATTTGTGGTTACAAGTGTGACCTTTTTTGACTGATGCTAAATTAAATGTGCTAAAAACTGCTTGTAGGACAAAAAGAAGTTTTTTATGCCGGTTTATTCAAAACTGAAGGTAAGTTACTTGCCACCTGCAAGTCAGAGATGCATTTAACATAGAATTGCAGAGGGTGGCAGCACTCACGGACAGATCTGTGCCCCAATACAGGTCACGCTCTGGTCCTAAATGAATAAGATGTATTCAAAGAGCCACAAACCTTGCAGAGGAATGTCTTTATCATATGGTGGGTGTGCACATCAAACTAGACTCTTTCTTCTCTGGTTTGGGTGTCTAGGACAGCAGAGGAGAAAATGAGCTTTCTGTGGCACACAGCTGGGCTGGCAGCAGAACCCTGTGGGGTCAGTTAGGGAGTTACAGGGGTGATGTACAGGGTGAGGGGGGAAATCCCACACAGCCTCTGCCCCGGTGGTCCCAGCCCCTCACTGGGAGCACTGCACCCTGAGCAAACTGAGAGCCAGGGCCTCAACAGCTCGCAGGCAGCCAGGCATGGCTGGCACGGTAAGTCCGGGGGAAAATGCACCTTATGGGGTAGTAGAGAGAAAAATGATAATGTGAGACTGGTTACAGGTGTAAATGCCACTGATATCACTAGAGTGTCCACCTGGGGGTGGCAAAGCGTTTCAGCTGTGTCTTCAGGAAGCAGGAGTTGTCTTTGCTCTCCAGGGCCCTGTGTGTACCTGTTACCTTCTCCTTGGCTGTTTCTCAAGAATGCAGCTGGTAAAATGGGTCTGGCAGAAGACAGGGGCTGAAATTCCCCTTGAGCTGCGGGAAAAGGGGACTCCAGATATGAGACCTCCAAGTCCTACCTCACCCTGGAGTCTTATCAGCCAGAAACAGAAGAAACTGCTGCAAACTGCAGGGTGGGGGCATATAGGAACCTACCAGTACATGGTCAGACTCAGCTCAGGGAGATGGACAGAAATAAAATCATCTGATGTGCAGGATAAACCTGCAGAGGCTGCAGACCTTTGAGGTTCCCTGGGCAGTTATCCTCCACTAGCTTCATTTTGGACAAGGGAATATCCTCCAGTAATGGTTATTTCCCAGGTAATGTAGACAGATTCATGGCATGCACAGGCCAGTTCAGCACTGAGTAAATGTAGTCAGCCATAGTGCAAGGAGGTACAGCAGTTACTTCGAGACTTCTAAAAAATAACCCACTAGAGGGCAGTTTTTTGACAGAGCGATGCAAGGCTTCACTCACCACCCTCCACTCCAACCTTTACCTAGCTCGGAAAGCAAAAGTTTGCTTTGTATAACCTTTGGTTCCTCATTCTCCTGGTCTAGAAATAGCGACTGCTGGTGCTGGTGTCTGAGGTGTACCAGCTCAGCTCAGGGCTCGTTAATGTCTACTTGATCATATTGCCACAAGAGGTTTGTAACAGACACATCTCAAGATCACTGGAGACAGAAACGGGAGTGGCTTCCCTAAAGCCAGAAGTGGGCAGACAAGGCTTGTCCAGAAAATTGTCCCAGTTCAAGCTGAGTAAAAACTGACGTTTAGGCTGGTGCACAAAAAGGCCATTTGGTACGATTTGGATAAGTTGTGTCTCTCTCCTGTGCTGGCAGCATTTAGAGTGGGTGCTGCTTCTGTAAAGTAGGTCTTTGCTGGCAGAGCTTGCAGACAGTGAACTGAGATTTCCAGCCCTCCCATTAGCTTGAGGGTAATACAATGCCTCTCAATAACCTACTAATTACAGTCTCCTCATGCATTTATTCACTCGTTCATTCTTTGAGACACAGTCTGTGAGCTCTTCTTTCTGAAATTGGTCTTTTAGGACTGTCTCTTGTTATTTCGCAAAGTCGTTTTCTTCAGTTTGCCTCTCATGTGGATCACAGCACGACAAGTCACAGACCAGTGGAGAGTTGAGAACTGCTGACAGACGTCCTGTGGGTGCCAGGGACGCTTGTGTCTTCAGCAGAGTCTGCAAGGTTGTGGTCCTCAACCACAAAGATGCTCTGCTGGGCAGGAATCTGGCTGGTGGGGTGCTTAGGGGCCCAGTGCCTGCAGTGAGGAGAGATGACGCTGAGAAAAGCCAGCCTGAAGCGCTGAGACAGCAGGTTGTAGATGATGGGGTTCACGGCAGAGCTCAGGTAGAAGAACACACCTGGGAGAACAAGGAGAAAGGAGAGAGAGACCTCATTTGTGGGTGGAACAAAGCCAGAAGAGGAAAATCTCATCATTGCCAGTGCTGCTCCACCAGGGCTGGGTGGCAGCACATCTGGACAGCCAGAACCCAGGCAGAGGCAGAGGCACATCTTGACAAGGGCAGCTCATGCCCGCAGCTTACAGGGAGGGGAGAGCAGTAGGCAGCATGGTCTGCAGCCCTCTGTCTCCAGCTGTTCATGATCCACCTCCTTTGAGCTGCACCAACCTGCCTCCAGCCCTCATCCCCCAGCGGGATTTGCACGGCTGGTGCCCTGCCAGAGCTGCCAGAAGATAACTTCCAGCTGAGGGGAGCTAATTCCCTGCAGCACCCCAGGACAATTGCATGAGATTGGATCTGTCTGAGCTGCAGAATGGCCATATTCAGTGTTTTCCTGTGATATACTGAAAATAAGATTCCTCCTTGAAAAAGCCCTCATTTTATGGTTGGCTGGGCCATAAATGTTTGGTTATATCACCCGGCTCCAGGCAGCAGGTAAGTCTGTTGTCTTACCATTCAGTAAGGTCTCCTGTTAGCTTGAGAGCCCCTCTGGAGGATGGTGCCTGCTGCTGTGTATTCATTAGAAGCAGCTGAATGACAGCAGCATTCATTTCTGAGCACTTCCAAGAAATAAAAACAGCTGGTAATGATACATAATATCCTTTCTTTTAATTTTTTTCCTTAATGAATATTCACACAGCTGTACTGGACAACATCTTGAAAGTTGCAGAAATTTGCGTCTAGTCTGAGGCACAATTACCATCACTGGCTACCAAAATCAAGAAACCTTTTATGCATGCCTCATGTCACCAAAAAATAAATGACTCCATCAGATAAAACACCCACAAATACATTTTGCCAGCCCCTGTGCAAGAGGAAGAAGAAAGCTTTACCTGACACCACGTGAATTAGGTTGAATATGTTAGCCAGAGGCTCAGTCCATTCCACAACAAAGCTGAAGAAGAGGCGATCAATATGGAACGGAGCCCAGCAGACAGCAAAAACCATCACGAGGACAACTAGCACAGAGAAAGGGGAGAAGAAAAACTAGCTGGTTATGCGAGGACAGGGTTCACTGGCCAGCACAGAGCAGAGCCAGTTCAGAAAGCTGGAGGAAACACTCAGCATGAAAGAAAAAACTTTGCTTCCGTGCACAGCAAGGCCTCTGGTGACTACAGTAAGGACTCTTGCAAACCTATCCCAGATGGTGCCTGCGAACATGTGTGGTCATGGTCATGGGGCACAGAAAATCAGGCTGATTTCAGACTACAGGTTCCCAGTTCAGAAGGGGATTTAAGCTGCCTAAAGAATAATGCTGTTGGATGATATATTGAAGGTGATTTACATTTCCAGCATAAACATCATCTCAGTAACAAGGTTTACTTCGTCTTAAAGACAGCCCTAAATTATGAAGTATTGCGAGTGCTTTCAGGGTAGCTGCAGCACCAGCTCTCCAGAGTGCTGCATAATGTGTGAGTCTGCGTAGGTCTTACTTTTTCTTGGGAAGGTTTTAGTGATGAAGTCAGTAGCAGGTGACGAACGTGGCTTGACAGGACCTTAATTTTCATAAGCAGGGCCTGTGTTGTGGTGCATTACAGGCACACAAAATGTAGCTTCTGGGAGCCAGAGCAGCGCAAGAAATGTCATTTTCACCCTGAGAAAGAGGGCTGCAAAAGCCAGTTTTGGAATGAGGGATAAAACCTGTGGTGGTATGGTAAGGACAAAAATTTGCCTTTGAGTCTTTTGATTGTCAGCCTGCACAGCTACTCCTAACTCCTGGATCCACTGCTTGGACCTGGTCACTGAGTATTTCACTAAAGTGTTAGTTTAGGAATTAACTCCAAAAATATTTTTATATATACGTTCCTTATCTATATGAGAGTTACATGCACACTCTTGGCCACGGTAAACAGAACACGGAAGGCACCACTACTTACACAGCATCTTGGTGACTGATTTTCTGGATGGCCTCTGGACATTCACAGACATTTCCTCCACTTCCAAAGATTTGTCTCCTTTCAACTGGCAAAAGGAGGGAAGCAGAAGAAGAGCTTAGATAGGAGATGATAACGCCACCACACATGTTGCTTTTGATATAGCTGTAGTTTGAGTTTAAGAAGGCAAAATTTAAGGCAACTCAGGACTCAGTGAAAGAAATCTTCATTTAAAATTCAGTTTTAGTCTATACTGAGCACTGAAGCCTTAGATTCATAACAATCAGCAGACTTATGTATCTGAGACTGCATACTAACAGCAAATTTAGATTTCCATTCCCCACTCGTCCTTTCTCAATGAGTCAATATTTGGTTCACAGTTTGTGTTCAATTTCAACATTATTTTGTCTTCTAGCAAAATATTGGTTGTTTGTTTATTTTTCTGAAAGGGTTCCCCACAATTAAGCACAAACCAATGATCCAAAAAATACCCCAGAGAGGCCTTAGTGAAACACAGCTGTAATCACTGGAAAAAAAATTGTGTAGAGTTCAAGGGAGTTTGTTTCATGCCCTGAGTGTTTGGACTAATTGATATTCAGTCCATCTGATGAACAAAACCCATATATGCTCTATTGCAAAGAAACAATGCACATGACATATGCAGATTCAAACACACTCTGCCCAACTACAACTTTATTTTATTTTATTTATTTTGTTATTTTATTTTTATTTTATTTTATTTTATTTTATTTTATTTTATTTTATTTTATTTTATTTTATTTTATTTTATCAATTTTCCCTGGACTTCTAAAAAATAATAAATGCTTCCCCAGTATGCTTAAGGTGAGAGCACTGATGCTTTGGTGATGAAAAGACTGTGCCAAGACAATCAGGACAAAAACACTTTTTTTCTTTGATTATAAAAGGAGTCATCTATAGAAACTGCATAATTGCATCTAGCTTCTTGAAGTGAGAACTGCTGATTATCCAACAACTTCAGAGTAATGCCTTTTTCAACAGAGTGAAATTGGAAAAAAATCTTTAAATTACATGGAAAAGAATATCAGGAATAAGGGAAAAGATAAAAACCAATCTGGACTTGTAAAAACTCTTATGAAAATATGCTAGTTGTGCTACTTTCTTTCATATTTTGTACAGCGATTTTCCTGTTTTTTGATTAAATGTGTTTATTTTTGTTTTATTAAGTAGTTGTAATCTTGATCAAAGAGACTTTCTTTCGATACTGTTTATTCAGAAAAACAATAAAGAAGAAACACATATGAATTGAATTATATTCAGTTATAGTGCCATTCAGCTTCCTGTTATTTTATATTATAACCTTTTGAGACTTTAAGTCATAGCCACTGTTGCTTAAGGAATAAAATAAGCTGATTTGTAACATGTCTAGTGATAAATGATTGCTCAGATTGATTAAAATCCTTAGCTTCCTTTCAGTGGTTTTCAGTCCCAACAGTAATTTAGTCCAGGAATATTCCAAAGGCTCATAGAATACAGCTCTCCGATGCTGTAATAAAACAGAGACACACGTATCTTTATTTTGTACCTTTCTCCTGTCATTTGATGATGTTTTAAGGTTCCTCTTTAGCCTTAAGCAATAATACGTGGGGGCGTATCTAGTAAAAATAACTCAGTAATTGCAATTTGAGAAAATAATGAGTTATGGCAAAGAGAAAAGAAGAAGAAGAAGAAGAAATGAGTTTATGACATGGATTGTAGCTTAAGTCCATGCCAAGGGTATGACAGAAGAAGTCCTGCCAAGATAATGGTTTTACATCACCGCAGATGTGTGAGAGTAGATAGGATCGCCTGGAGATGAATGCTGCCCCTTCTCTGCAAGAGAATTAAAAGTGTCTGAAGCAACAAGCTGAAAATTAGTTTTTTCCCCCACATCGTAATTAGCTACAGCATTTCATGCTAGAAATCACAAGGCAGAGTGAAATTAGGGCCTCACCTATCCCCAGGCAAACACAGTGAGGCAACTCAGCAGAAGCAGGACAAACTTTCTCCTTAAGTTACATGACCTGACACAAACAGTGATCAAATGTTTGCTCCAGCTGATGGAAAATTTGGTGTTTAAAAGCCACATGACTTGTGCTAAGGCATGTAGATCCTGAGCGATTTGGCCGATGCCAACTATCTGCTGAGCTGCCCTTGCCGCACTGTGAGCTCTCCCCAGTTACAAAGGGAAATGTGTCAGTGGGCACAAGGTGTGCAGGACTGATCCTCCATGGACAGGGAACAGACCCCTCCACATCTGTGCTGGGCTCTGCACAAATTTGCCAAAGGCAGCCACTGCCCACAACTGATCCTGGAGTTAACAACCGAGTATTTTATGGGGGTGTGAGAGAGGGAGGCAAAATAGATTCTGATGAGAAAATCAAGATTAATTCCACACTATAGAATAAGTATTCTGAATTCAAAGACAGTTAACATAAAACTTTTCATGTTCCCAATGTGTTACCCAGGGCAAGTGAAGTGCTGGACTCAGAAGAACTTTGCCTAGGTGAGGTCAGGCTGGTCACATCTGGTTATCTAGATCCCCTTCATAGACAATTTGGGTAGGTGGGATAAATAGGTCTGTGGGCTCTCCACACTTGTCAGTGACTGTCAAAAATCCTAGATAACTCTGATCTGACTATTAGACAGCTGGATACAGGCCCCCATTCCTGTCTCCTTTTAGAAGTCAGCTTGAAGGAAAGGGTCCAGGCCCCTGCCCCAAATCCTGCTGCAACACAGGCTGCTGCTCAGGCAGTGCAAGCCTATCTCCTGTATCAGCACCATTGGGATTAGCTTCTCCATGCAGCCACTTCCCCACGTTCTCACTGAAAATGAAGAGCTGGCATATGACACGTTTTCTACACTCTCATAGCTCCTTAACATGTCATGCATGCCTCCTTCTGCATTATATCCTGAGGCGCTCACTCCTGAGTACTGGCAAAGCTTGAAGAAGAAACTTTGGCAAGAAAATTCCCTTTCTACAAAGGCTGGTAAAGGTCATGACTCAGTTTGCCAAGTTGGAGCTGTTGTACAACCTTTGGATCAACTCTGAGCTTTTGCACTACAGTCTAAGAGCAATACAGGACACTCAGGAGATTCTGGAGTGTTGCTGAAGCTTCAGAGATTTCATCAGCTGTGAGTAGATAAAAAGTGTCTTCTCTTGAAAATTATATACACACACTATTCTGCTATCATTTCTGTTGGGGAAAAAAAGAAAAAAAATGATTTTGCCTAGCACAACTTAGAACGCAATGCAGGTATATCAGGGATGGGCACTTTAAATTTGGAAGTAGCATTCAGATATACAGAAAAGCAGAGGTTTAAACAATGAACATTGCAGCCCTCAGGAAAGACAGCTTAAACAAATCTGTGAATATACAGAAATTCCCAGGTAGCAGGCAGCAGGCCTTGTTTGGCACCCAGCTTCTCTGGGGTGGGGATTAAGAATTTTTGGTGCCACAAATAGAAGTTATGGCACTTTTCATACTTCTTTTTATTAGCTTGGGGATTTATCTTCTTTTTCTTTTTCTTTTTCTTTTTTTCATTTTTAGCAGCTACTAGTTTACACACACACACACAGAGGTCTTATTTTGCAAAATTTTCATCAAAGAAACAATGAAACTATGCAAAAAACCTGCAATAGCTACTGAACTGTGATATTGCAATAATTTAACCCATTCATTGCTTCAAAGATCTGTGTGCTATAGACTTCTGGCTGTTAATCCTTGTGTTTTTTTCCAAGTAGGGAAAGATTGCTTTTCTACAGTTTCAGATAACCATAAATATCAGCCAGCACAACAAAATGATATATGAACTAGCACAGAACTGGTTGAATTTCTTGCATGTTACTTGGTAAATTAATCTGTCTCCACATGCATATTGCATCCCTTTCTTGCTCTATGATCACACACAGCTTTTAAAACTCTAAGTTGTATTCAATGCAGTGAGATAGGTTTTATATTTTCAAAATGCAGGTAATGTAAGAGAAGGATAAAAAAAACACATGGACTCACTATGATTAGCAGTGCATTGCTGGACTATGTAGGTATGTAGGTTAATAATACTGCGATACTGATTGTTTTATCCCTGTATTTAAATAATAATACTTGATGAAACTAGTCCCACTTTCTGAAGAGAGCACAAATGTGAACTCTAAGGTAGCATCAATCACTGGTGAAACTGTGCCATAGTTATATAAAGAAAAGACTGCTGAAATTGCTAGCTGCAGCAATAAGGTAGCATTTCAGCTCATGACAGCTTTGTGAGTTTTAACAAGTGAATATTATCACCCTCTTCAGGGAAGAAGAAAAATAAAGCAGCGTAATAGAAACTCCATAGTCACAAGGAGAGGGAAAACAGAAAACATACGATTCAATCACCGGCCTACTCCTTTTTATTCTTTTCACATTTTCCTTTTGGTCAATTTCTAGTCTCTACCACAAAGGTGTAAATCTCTGAGAGGCTGGAATCAATCTACAGAGTAGGATATTTAAGTAACATTCAAATGCAAGCAGCAGTGATAGTAATTTTTTACAAGAAGATCAGGGTAAATTATTGCAAGCCACAGCTACATTCATTTAAGAATAGGATAAGAGCAAAGAAGGGGTTAGATCCACTATTTTCAGGGGTTTTAAATACTTTTGCTTTTTGAGTAAACCAGATGGACAAGAAAAAAAGGGAAATAAAAGACACAGAAACACAGCAAGAGCTAAAGAAACACTGAGCACAGTCAGAGCAGGACTTACTCTTAGCCCCATCAGATAGTACAGCACACTTATGACCCCCATGGGCAGCACATAGAAGAGGAAGGATGTGATCTGGACGATGCAGTTGTAGATCCACATGGGCATGACTACGGTGCAGGTAGCAGAGCCAGGGACCAGGGTGCCGTTGGGGAAATACTGCAGCATGATGCCATGGGTGCCCGTGTTGGGGAGGGCGAAGAGGACAGAGAGGACCCAGAGCACCACGATGGTCCTCAGGGCACGCTTGCGGGTGCTCTCCAGCTTGGCGCGGAAGGGATGGAGGATGGCAAAGTATCTCTCCACGCTGACCGTGGTCACGCTGAGGATGGAGGCGAAGCACACTGTCTCAAAGAGCGCTGTCTTGAAATAGCAGCCGATGGGCCCGAACAAGAAGGGGTAGTTGCTCCACATCTCGTAGACTTCCAGGGGCATCCCAAAAAGCAGCACAAGCAGGTCTGAGACAGCGAGGCTGAAGAGGTAGTAATTGGTCGGGGTCTTCATGTTCCGGTGCTTAAGGATCACCAGGCAAACTAGGAAGTTACCTATCACCCCAACAATGAAGATCAAACTGTACACCAAAGCCATGGGCAAGAAGAGATGGCTCCTTTTGGGCCCACACAGGAAGGCTAAGTAATCCTCGGTGCTGTTCAGGTACCTCCTGAAGCGTTCTTCATGCAGAGCCAGGTGGTTAAACCAGGAGGTATTGCTGGTCCAGGCCATCATGGGACCTCCCAAAATGCTCCACCACTGCAAGCCAGTCTTCTTTAAGTTTCTCTGTGCTAGTTCACTCACTTTTTTTTTTTGCAGAGAGGGAGGGAGAGGGGTTGTCTTGCCAAACCTAGATGCACAAAGCCACTGAGAGATGTGAGGAGTGTGCTTGCCTGGCTTCGGTGGAGTGTTTGCTGTCGGAACAGCTGTTCCCCTGCGAGGAGTCCCTAAGCCAGAAAGCCCCTCCTTTCACACATATTCATTGGCTCACTAAGTGCATTAGATTATAGAGTAAGAAAAGAGGTTCTGGCTACTTGCATCAGCTCCTGTAACAGATGCGCTCATAGAATAGGAAACGTGGGATTTAGAAAGCTGGGAATTTGAGATATAGGATGAGAAGCTTGCTGCAAGATGCTTGCATTTGTCAGAGGGTGGGAAATCAGACACACACAAAAATATATTAATACTACAGACAGTTATAATCCACAAGCAGGAAAAAAAAATTATCAAAATTGTATTTTTCTGATATCTGTTGATTTTTATTCTCTGTTTTCTATGGTAGCAAGTACTTGGAAACAGATAGTGATCTGTAGAAAGCCAACCTGTTTTTGTAGTCACGAATGTGGAATTAGACAAGTATACAGTTTCAACCTTTTTTTTTTTTAAATATTGTATTTTTTTCTCCTGAAATCTGACACAGGATTTTAACTGCTCTTCTTAGTGATATCAAAATATTTTTTCCCACTTCTATTTTGTAAGGGAGTGTTGTGTCAAAGTGCATACAAAATTTTCATTGAGGGTTGACAAAAGGGGCTGATTGGAGGTTTGAGAATACTGGAATCTGATCCCATGTTTTAGATAGCCTTGTTAGGGGAATTTTTCTGAAGACCATATTGTTTCAAAAACATATTTAGTGCCTCTAGGATTAAGGTTACATGAATTCTTATGAACACTTATTTCTTCCTGAATGAAAACTATTCTGCAAATGTACTTTCTGAGCCAAAGAAGTGTCTGATACAAAGACGATGGCTGTGTCATTATAGATCATTTATCTCCTGATTAATTCTTGGTTCCTTACTGAATTTCTCTAAAACAACAACAGAAACAGCAACAAAAAAGTGCATGGATGTCTTCTTTTGAGAATCAGAAAGTTAAGCTCTTTGGAATTAAATTACTGCAAAATCTGGTGTAGTGTAGGGGACTTTGTCAGCCTGATGTGCAATTTGCTCAGTAGCTCTCACTAGTTTTCTCTTCTGAGTCCCTACCCAACTACCCCTTGAACTGATGTAAGATTTAACACCCCAGCACCTGTTGGTAGGATGCTTTTTGAGTCCTCATGAAGAACATGAAGAACCACCTCCTTTGTTCTAGCCTTTTAACTTGAGTAACCCTGGCTCCTAAACCAGAACTGTGTATTTTTAATCACCCAGAAGCAAAAGAACTGTCCACTTGTCTGGCATCTCCTCCAAAATCCTGACAGAAGCAAGCTTTCTGAGGAAGATGTAAACTACTCCATTATAGGTGGTTTGACAGCAGATCCCACAGAAAAACTCTCCTCTTCTGAAGACAGAAAAGTCTTCAAAATTTTAGTTGCCTTAGATCCTGCCTTCTTTGCTCCTTCCCTCTTTAATTTCTGGTTTAGTTGTAGTTCAATAACCCTGAAAGAAAAAGAAAAAAAAAAAACTGCTGTAGTAAACACCTGACTGCCTCCAAAAATAGCAGCAGTAGGCAAAGAACAAGGGTCTGTTCCCACTGTGGCATATCCAACATGTGTAGCTCCGAGGATTTTTTGTTTTACTCCTGTGCATTCATTTAGAATATTAGCAGAATAATACGCCACATGAACTGTACTAAAAGACAGAAACATGTCGCCTGCGATAACTTTCAGACCTGCTGAAATTATCTCACACACAGACTGTCTCCATCAGAAAGAATCCACTGATTTATTCCTGCATTGCACCGAAGCTTTTTTTTTTTAGCAGAGTGTTAGGGTTTATTGGATTGGTAAGCTACAAGGGTGCTCCTTTGACCTGTTTCTCCCTTCCTTAGTGATGCAGATGAACAAGGTTCCTTGCATTTCAGCATTATCAGAATAATGTGAATTTGATTTTGATTTGAACTACAGCTGCCACAAAAGGTAGGAACAGGGAAATCCTTAGGAGGGTGCATGGTTGTGACTGTTGTAAATAACAGATAGTTGTAAACAATTTGTCCAGGACTAAAAACTTCCTGCATCTCTGCTTAACTTTCAGGATTTTTCTCCTCTCTAGTCTCTCACTGATTTTTCATTTATTTCCATTTCTTCTTTTTTTTTTTTTTTTTCCTCCCAGTAAAGTTACTCTATACAGCATCATAACTGAAGTGAGTAAAACACTTAGATACCAAAATAGCTACCAAATAGGTCTTCATTTTGATTCACACACATTAACCATTATAGAGAAAGTGAAAAGGAAACTTGAGGTCTGTTTAGCTTGAATTCAGTCTTGCAGGAAAAAAAAAAAAAAAAGTATTATTTACTAAAAAGCCACCAAGGCAGCCTTGCCAGTCTTGAGCTCTATGAGAGGAAAACTATGGGCTGTAGAAACACACGAAAGCCCTTGGAAGTGTGGATGTGCCAGGGTGCCAGGCTCACCTGCATCTACTTCCACTTGTTCCTGGATCCTGTCTGATCCTGCTGGGCATGAGAACTGACTGGCTGTAAAAGTCGGGCACAGGAGAAAAGTTGGTCTATTTGTCTAGCAGGCCACCCCTGGAGTCATGCCACTCTGAGCAGGATTAAGTGGCAGATGGAGAGGACAAGAAGGGCCAGGAGAGTGGAAAATATATTTCAATTCATTTCTTGAAGCTTTATTCAGTGTTTATCATATCTGTCTCAATGAGGAGAGGAGAGTATATCTGGAAACCAAAGACGAATTCTAGCTCTGCATGACTGGAAATATTTTCTTTTTACAAGGGAAATGGAAAATAAAAATAGATTTTTCCTTTTGAAAGTATTTGTTTTTGTTTTTTTTTTTTTTTTTTTTTTCACTGTAAAGCATGCTTCGTTGGTGCTTGCTGTTCTATACTCAAAGGAAGATTGCGTGTTGTATGTTGACCATAGAAATGTGCAGTTTAAAGTAATATTGATGTAATTTTTGATGTAAAATGATGTAATATTTACATTAATGTAATGTTTGTTATGTAATATATTTAATTGCGGTGTACTATTTGGCAACATAAAAGCCAGACAAGTTTTAATGGCATGGTAAATTCTAGTGCTAATCCGAGTGTAGCATTATCCCCTTAGGGATTGCCTATGCCCTCATGCTGGTGGTATTTCTCTTGCCACGTTTACTCAGCAGAGTCTTGCCTTTATCTGATGTAAGAGCACTACGGTGCACTGCTGTATTCCACTAAGGGCAGTACAGTGTACATTTAAGAACAAGGAAATTCAAGTACCTTCATGTTTCCCAAAGCCCTTATAAGGGCACTCATTACTGACTCTACATTAGATCAGTAAATAGTGAGCAATTTTTTTATTTTTTTTTTGGTTTGTTTTAGGGAAAATTGAACACATTCATCAAAAGAGCCAGAGAATTATAGAGGTAATCAAAATATAACAAATGTATAAATCCTCCATGGGTCACGCTTACAGGGGGATATATTTTGAAGAAATATGGTCCATTATGATGGTCTAATCTGAATATTTGCTCTCCTCAGAACATAGAAATTTATTCCTGCTAAACAAGCTCTTTTAGGTATTTACTTCTATGTGGTGAGGCAGAGGTTCTTCATCCAGCTTCAAATGTTCTGGCTGTAGGATTAGGAAATAACATAGTTGTTCTCCTGCCATGCTGTGCCATATTAATTAATTCTGTTGATTATCTGAGATGCAATACCACACTGATGTTCCTGGTTGGCATCCTGGACCTAAACTAACCTCTCTGAGCAGCCCTGGGTTGTAGCTCAGGGTTTGCAAGGGAGATGCTCACTGTACAACCCTAGAAAGCCATTCTACTTCAGTGAAAGGGCTTGAAGAGGTATGTATGGGGTTTGCCACAATCCTTGGTAAAACAGGTCAACCAGTTCTTATTGTCAGCAATTAGTCTAGCACTTCATTTCTGATTTCCATGTGCAGCCATCAGACTATTGTTTCTGTAGTTTCACCCTTTCTCCAACTTGCAGATACTGAAGGTAGATGCAGAATCTTGTAGAAATTCTGCCTGTGGGGACTGTTATCCAGCTGGCCTGAGCTGGTTTTCCCTAACTCCTTTCTCAGAGCCCTTAGAGCTGCACATGGAGCCACCGAGCTCTGTGCACTGCAAGTTCAAGCTCACAGTCTCAGTCCTTTAAGAACTTGTACCAAGTATCTCACATGGATGCAAGGAAGATGGAAGTTAGAGGACACATTACTGGTAGGCAGAAATGTTAAGCTGTGCTACACTGAATATCTTAATACAATTGCTAGAAAAATATCACTCAATTTCCCTTATAAATCACTGAATTATAATTAAAGATCATTGATTGACTCTTTTTTTGTTGCTTTTCTTCTGTGAATTTTTTAGTTTACTGAATTAGCAAGAGCGTGAGTCCATGTTTTTCTAAGTATTCAATATAACATTCAGCATGCCATCAAATACATAGGTATATTTTGTATATTTTCTCTCCTGACAGGCTGGAGGAGGGAGCTGTGCTGTAATAATAGCTGGGTATGCAGCAGCCTTTCCATGCCTTATTGTAAGTCATTTTGCAATTATCTAGGCTCTTAGCAGTCAGCTTCTCCATGGCTGTACATGATAACTAAAGTCCCCAGGATATCAATCAACACACACAAGAAGTGGATTTCATGACTACAGTGGAAATAGCCAGGAGCACACCTCTTGGCCAGGAACAGCTGGCAATCTACCTAGGCACTGCAGACACAGTCCACTTCAGCAGTGGAACCCATTTTACCTAACTTTTGTCATTAAAAACAGCAAATGAGTCTATGCTGATTTTTTAGGCTTTTACTTTTGTCAATAATGGAAAGGAGA